AAACTTTAATATAACAGCAAATGTACAACGTTTCGACAAATGTTGTACATTTGCTGTTATATTAAAGTTTTTCTTCATTACCCATTCAAGCCGTCTCCAGCCATTATTAGTCTCAAAGTGTGTTCCTCGTCATCGAATTTTAATCCAAAGTAGTTCATACGTTTCCCATGGGAACGAAAATTGTACTGAAAGAGAAACTATCATTTTTCTGTACAGAAAACAACGTTATACTATACGTCATTTGATAGATGAAAACCTTGGTTTTCTATTGGTTAAAAATAATAGAGTATTAAACGTTAGAGAGAACTATTGACAAATCCTGAAAAAGAGGATGTGACAAGTAGGTGTGGTAAGAAGGGTCTTATTTTTCTATTTGATGGCTCTATAACCAAATAAAATTGAAGGATATGAAAATTATGCTTTATCTGAGCTATGAAAATATTATAATAAGTAATTTACGTCAAGTTTCGTACTCCTTGGAGGGGTGATAAATAAATTAGAGAAGAGAAGATTGTTAGAGAAAAAATGTTACATTTCTCACACTAGGGGAAATTCTGAATCTTTTTTTAATATTGCCTTATAAATTAAAAACTTAAAACTTGTATAATATTAAAATAAGGATTAATATCTACGATTTTCTGCTATACCAATTGGTATAACATGAACAAAGAAAAAATAGTTTAATTGAATTTTGAATGTAACTCACAAAAACCTCGTAACATGCACAGTAAAAGATGCACATAATGAGAGGGGTAATTACTGCTGAAAAGTCACTAGATATTTCCTTCTTCAAAAACTCAAGGAGACCACATTGTGATGAGGTTTCACCAAAGAAAAAAATGAAATAAACTAGATTAATTTAAAAAACGATTTGTGGCCACCTTGTTCAGCTGCAATGTCTTCAAGTCACTTCTTTCTCTGGATAATAGATTGTTGCATTATTTTGTGACAGCTGAGGTGTTTGGTATTTCCTTCAGTTTTAAAGTTTTACTATATATAACAATGGTACAATTGGTATATGGTACAATTAAATATTATAGTTTGAAGCTGAATGAAAGAGTTATTAGAATAAAACATACCAATACCATTTACCTCTTTTACATTAGTGGATAACTTTACAAATAGTTAAGACATTTAGAACTGAATTTATTTGCCATAATGTGTTAAAATGATGAATGTTAAAAAGATGCTAAGCATTATTTGCTAATTGCTAATCAAATTCAATATTTATTAACAGTTTCTGCTAATCAAATTCATCAGACTATTTTGTCCCCTGCTATGACTAGCACTGCAACAATCCTTTCATCTCTGACTAGCTACCATCCCAGGAATGGAATGTCTCACATCAGTGTCTAGTTCTCTAATTATAACCTTGGTCCAATAGGAGAGTGAAGGCTGACCATTAACCCTGGGGTTAAATAACATTCAAACTAGTTTTAAGTTAAATATAATCCAAATAAATGAGTAAAATCATTCCTAATTTCCAAATGCACCTGCAGATATGTTAACTTTATCAAAATAAAAATCATATCATAACACTA